CTAGGGAGGGATGGGTTCTCCAGGAGGGCCGATTTCTTCCAGATGGGTCCCATGGAAGACATCTTCTCTGAAGACCTGCAGGAGTGACCATGGTTGAAGCAGCAAAGAGTTTCTTCAGCCCCATGCAGAGCAGCTCCCATGAGACTGTGCGTGGGTCAGTCCTGGAGAACTGCCCAGGCCACCTGTGGAGTGCCACATGGGCTTCGGGGCACCACAGGGGTCATGCAGGAACTCTCTCAGTCCTCAGGGTTGTTGCGGGGGTGGTGACCGAGCAGTCAGGCCTTAGTGTTTCAAGGTTCACGCCCACCCATGGCCCTGAATGGGCCTGACACTGTTGAGCACTGAGCCATCCCAGTGGCGCCACATTGAGCCTGGTGGGGGTGCTCACCGCACCAAACCTGTTGTTGAGCTCTGGCCGGCTCCTGATAGTGCTGCAGGCTGGCCTAGGGACTGTGGGCTTCGGGCCAGGTCAGCAGCCTGTGTCCTTCGTGGGGTGGGGGGGGGGTCACGCCTTTCCTGAGTTCCAGTGTAAGTATGGGTGGCCTCTTTAGGTGGGAAGGCCCACTGTTGAGGGACCCTGTTGGGGAATTTTCTGCCCAGGCTACTTCTGAGCCATGAGATCAACTCCTGGTGGCAGGATCTTGGGCCCAAAGAATTGAGAAGACACCATGTGGCCCCTGATTGGTCAAATATGGCCTGCTCTGAGTTTGGGAGGTGTGTGGGACATGGACGGGGACGCACAAGAGAAAGCACGTAGCCATGGGCCGCAGGCTGAGATTTCCAGTATGCGCTTGGAGAGGGTGCCTGGTTGGGGGCCCACCCTGCCCAGGGGCAGGCTATGCAACTGCCACATCTGCAGCGGCTCCTGGTGTCAGGAGCAGCCTCCTTTGTAGGCGGTGAGCTGTTTGGTGGCCCCGGCCCATGTCCAGGGGTCTCTGTACAGCCTCAGGTTCTTGTGGATCAGTCAGCGTGGGCAGTGGAGGTTATCTTGAGGCCTGCAGTAGGCACAGCACAGGTGTCTTTCCGGAACCCAGTGACCTGCCTGTCCTGTCCTTCCAGGGTGTAGTGGCGGGGAGGGCCAGGGGTGCCCCATGTCCATGACAGGTCAGGATTTCACATGGATCCCATCACATGGGTCCTCCTCCTGTCACCCTGGATGGTGAACCTGGAGGAGGATTGCATTAGGCCCACTATGCCCAGGCCAGAGGCCATCTGCCAAGTGCCCAGGGCCTGTTGCACTGAACCTTAGGCCCTTCCTGGTGCCCTGGTCTCCTGCATGGAGCAGGTGAGCTCATCTGAGTCTGACCCTAGGTTAGGTCAATGATGAGAACCTTATATTTTCCTGAAGAGAGGTGATGACTTAAAAATCATGCTCAATAGGATTACACTGAGGCCCAGCCTAGGGGAGAGTTTTGGACGTGAACATTGGGAATCATGAGGTCCCCTGGAAGGGCCACTATATTTTGGGCTAGAGACCTTGAGGCCCTCAGAGGCCTCTCAGGGGTACCCAACCCTGTCTCTGTGCTCCTCCATGAAGTACACCAGGTCCCTGTGTGGACTTGGTTTGACCTACCAGTTCCCTAGAGGCAGGGCATATTGGGGGCTGCTCTCTGAGCCCCTGTTCTCTCCTTGTGTCTTTCAGTGAGCTCTTCAGCTCAGAAGGGCCCCTCGGCCTTGACCCACATAGGTGAGTACATCCTGCTGGCGTCATGGGCCATGAGTCAGGTCACATGCTGTCCCCGAGGGTAAGTCTTCCGGACGGGAGGGTTTCCTCAGGGACCTGACCTGTGTATCCACTGAGGAGGGACAGTTTCTCCAGGAGGGCAGCTTCCTTGGGAATCGTACCCAAGACCTGGCCTTTCCGAAGACCTGCAGGGTAACAGTGGTCCAGGCAGGAAAGTGTTCCATTGGCACCACACAGGGCAACTTCCAGCTGAGACTGTGAGTGTATGTCAGCCTCGAGAACTGCCCAGGCCATATAAGGGGTTACAGGGCCTCCGGGGCACCATGGGGATCACGCAAGAGTTCTCTTTCCCTGGAGGGGGTGCCTGAATAAGGTCATGGAGTCGGGCCGTGGACATTCAAGGATAGCCATCCAACCACGGCCCTAAAAGGGCTGACCTTTTGAGGAATGGGCCATCCCATAGCGCCTCTTTGAGCTTGGTGGGGGTCAGTGCTGTTTCCCTGGGTAAGGGTCAAGGCTGAGCTCTGGCCGATGCCTGGTGGTGCTGCGGGCAGGCCCTGGGACTTGTGGGCTTTAGGCCATGTCGGCCGCCCTCGTCCTGCTGGAGGTCACCCCTTCCCCATAGGTGAGAGGCTGGAAGAGCGGACTCAGGTGGGAAGGCCTCCTGCAATGGTCCTGTTTCAGGAATTTACTGCCCAGGCTTTTTCTGTGCCACGGGGTTCTCTCCACGGTGGTGGAGTCTTCAGCCTAAGTAAAGGAAAGGGTGTCCTAGCTCTGTGTTTGGGACTTGTGCGGGGCATGGATGGGGACTTATCAGAGAAAGCACGTGGCCCTGGGACTCCAGGCTTCTCTTTCAGGTGTGGCTTGCAAAGGGCCTCACCCAGGGGCAGGCTATGCCGCTTCTATGTCCACAGATGCATATGGCTTCTGGGCCAGCCTCCTCGGTTGGCCATGAGCTGGTTGGTGACCCTGGCCCTTTCTCAGTGATTCCAGAACAGCTCTGGGATGTTGTGAAGGGGAAGACAGAGGGGGCAGTAGAGGTGCCCTTAAGGTCTGCAGTAGGGCACTGCCTGGGGATCTTGCCCAAGCCCAGTGACCTCCCTGCCCTGTTTTTTCAGGGTTTGGTCATGGGGAGGGCCAGGGGTGCCCCATGTCCGTGACAGGTCAGTGTTCCACATGGATCCCATCACATGAGTAACCCTTACCTCCTTTCCACATGCAGGCATGAGACCCTGTTTGGACACACGTTCTCCTGTCCCCCTAGATGTTGAGCCTGGAGGAAGACTTATGTGAGGCCCAGTGAAACCAGGCCGGTGTGTGTCAGCCAGGTGCTCAGCCCATGGTGCGCTGATGTTCGGGCCCTTCCTGGCACCCTGGTCTCCGGCACTGAGCTGTGGTGAGCACATCTGGGTCCCACTGGATCCATGCGTGCAGAGAGGGTGCTCTCGGTTGGGCCAATGATGAGAACCTTATATTGCCCTGAAGAGAAGTGATGACTTAAAAATCATGCTCAACAGGATTACGCTGAGGCCCAGCCTAGGGGAGAGTTTTGGAAGACCATGCTGGGTCCCACTGGATCCATGCTTGGGAGGGGGTGCCCTGGGTTGGGTCGATGATGAGAACCTTATATTGTCCTGAAGAGAGGTGATGACTTAAAAATCATGCTCAATAGGATTACGCTGAGGCCCAACCTGGGTGAGAATGTTGGAAGAAGACGCTGGGATCCCCAAGTCCCCAGCAGGCCCCTGTATTTTGCGCTGGAGACCTAATGACTCTGAAGGGCATAGGTGCCCAGCCTGTCTCTGCCCTTCTCCATGAGGCAGCTGAGGCTCCCTGTGCAGGTTTGGAGTCGGTGCTCCAGTTCCCTGGGCCAGGGAACATTAGTGGCTTCTTCCTGAGCCCCTATTCTCTCCTTGTGTTTTTCAGTGAGCTCCTTCACCCACCTGAGCCACCTGGCATTGACCATAATAGGTGAGTGGATCCTGCTGGGGTCATGGGCCGTTAGCCAGGCCACGTGATGTTGCCGAGGGTCAGACTTTCCGCCACGGGGAATTTCTCAGGCAGCTGACCTGAATTCCCACCAGGAGGGCTGCTCTTTTGAGAATCAGACCCAAGGGGGACACCTTCCCTGAAGCCCTGCAGGGTTGATGGTGGTCCAGGCAGGAAAGCGTATCTTCAGCACCCACGTAGTACAACTCCTGTCTGGGACTAGGTGCTCAGGTCAGGCCTTAAGGACTGCTTAGGCTGCAGGAGGAGAACAGAGGGACTTTAGGCCACCACGGGGCTCACACGGGAGCTGTGGGTGCGTGGTGTGTGGTGCCCAAATGGGCCTCTTGGGTTGGGTCACAGAGATTCAAGGGTAGTGCCCAACCATGCTGAATTTGACCGTCCCTGTTGAGAAAAGGGTCATCCCAGTGGGTCTCCTGGAGCCTGGTCATGGGGTGGCGTTGTTTTCTGGGGGTTGGGTCAAGGCAGAGCTCTGGCTGGCACCTGGTGGTATTGCAGGTCAGCCCTGGGACTTGTGGGCATCGGGCCAAGGGGGAGCCCACATCCCGCTGCAGGTCACCCTTTTTCCAATAGCAGGTGTCTGGAAGGGTGGCCTCCTGAGGTGGGAAGGCCTGCTGTTGAGGGACCTGTGCCAGCAATTTGTCTCTCAAGCTTCTTCTGAGCTTTGGGGCCACGTCCAAGGTGTGAGGTCTTGGGCCCAGGCAAAGGAGAGGGCTCTGTGGGGCTCCTCATTGGCCACGTGTGGCTGGCTCTGTGTGTGGGAGGTATACAGAGTATGGATGGGGTCCCACCTGAGGAAGCACATGGCCTTGTGGTGTGATTTCTGTTTCATTCTTGGAGAGGATGCCTGGAGGCACGCTCCCCACACCCAGGGAAAGGCTACGTGACTGCCAAGTCTGCGCGGCTTGTGGCATCTGGGCAGGCTTCCTTCATTGGCCGTGTCCTGGATGGTGGCCAGGGTCTGTGCCCAGTGGTCCCAGGGCAGCCCTGGGGTGATGCAGGGGAGCAGTTTTGGACAGCAGAAGTGCTCCTGGGGTCTGCAGTACAGCACTGCCTGGGCATTTTGCCCAAGCCCAGTGACCCACCTGCCCTGTCCTCTCTGGGTTCGGTGGAAGGGAGGGCCGAGGGTGAACCCCATTCCTGACGGCTCAGCATTTAACATCAAAGTCATTACACGTGTCCATGGAGGGGGAGCAAGGGTGAGCTGGCACCCCTACCCCTTCCCCGCATGGAGGTCAGTTTGGATACACGTCCTCCTCCTGTCTCTGCAGATGGTGATCCCGGAGGAAAACTTGGGTTGGGTCTGCTGTCTCTGGGCCAACGTCAGTCACGCAGGTGCCTGGCCCACAGTGTGCTGAAGCTCGGGCCCTTCCCGGAGCGCTTGGCTCCTGCACTGAGCTGTGGTGAGCCCATCTGTGTCCTGCTGGATGCATGCGTAGGGAGGGGGGGTGCCCTGCATTGGGTCGATGATGAGAACCTTATATTGTTCTGAAGAGAGGTGATGACTTAAAAATCATGCTCAATAGGATTACGCTGAGGCCCAGCCTAAGGGAGGATTGTGGAAGAGGTTGCTGGGATTCTGAGGTCTCCAGCAGAGCCACTGTATTTTGGGCTGGAGCCCTGGAGGCCCTGAAGGGCATCTCTGGGGTGCCGAGCCCTGTCTCTGTGCTCCTCCATGAGGCAACCCAGGCTCCCTGTGTTGACTTAGTATCCGGGCTCTGGTCCCTGGGGGCGAAGCGCATTGGAGGCTCCTTCCTGAGCCCCTGTTCTCCCCCATGTCTTTCAGTGAGCTCTTCTGCCCAAGTGGTCCCCCCTGAAATTGACCGGCATAGGTGAGTGGACCCTGCTGCGGTCATGGGACATTAGCCAGACCATCTGGAGTTACCGAGGTTCAGACTTGAGGCCATGAGGGTTTTCTCAGGCAGCTGACTTGAATTCCCACCTGGGAAAGATGAATTTTTCAGGAGGGCCGTTTTTTGGGAATTGAACTCAGGGAGGATGCCTTCCCTGAAGCCCTGCAGGGGTGATGGTGGTCCAGGCAGAAAAGGGTTCCTTCACTGCCATGTAGGGCAGCCTCCAGCTGAGACTTAGTGCTCTGGTCAACCCTTGAGGACTGCCCAAACACAATCAGGGGGGCCACAGGGACTCCGGGTGCCATGGGGTCACATAGGAGCTTTCAGTCCCTGGATTGTGGGGTGTGGATGGACCTGTAGGGTTGGGTTGTGGAGATTCGAGCATCGTGCTTCGCCTATGGCCCTGAATGCGACTGTCCCTGTTGAACAATTTGCCATCCTGGTGGGTCTTCTGGAGCCTAGTTGAGGGCAGCATTATTTCCCTGGGGTTGGATCAAGGTGGAGCTCTGGCCAGACCTGGTGGTGCTACAGGTCAGCCCTGGGACTCCTGGGCCTTGGGCCAAGGGGCAGCCCTCATCCTGCTGAGGGTCATCCTATCTCCGAGGTTGAATGTCATGAAGGGTGGCCTCCTGAGTTGGAAAGGCTTGCTGTGAAGGGACCTGTGTCATTTTGTAGCTCAGGGTGCTTGGGAGCCATAGTGTCAGCTTCAGAGTAGTAGAGTTTGTGCCCAAGCAAAGGAGAAGGCACCATGTGGCTCCCAGTTGGCCACCTGTGGCTGCCTGTGTGTGTGCGAGGTATGCGGAGTATGGATGGTGACCCACCAGAGAAAGCACGTGGCCCTGCAGCCCCACGCTGTGACTTCTGGTGCACGCTTGCAGAGTGCAGCTAGATCTAGATGCGCGCTCCCCACACCCAGGGTAGGCTGTGTGGCTGCCAGGTCTGCAGCAGCGTGTGGTCTCTGGGCCAGCCTTCTTGGTTGGCCATGAGTGGCTGGTGGCCCTGGCCTGTGCCCAGTGGTCTTAGGGAGGAGTCCCTTGGGTCATGCAGGGAAGCCTCTTGGGCTGTGGAGATGCTCTCAGGACCTGCCGTATGGTGCAGCCTGGCATTTTGTCTGAGCCCAGCAACCTACCTGCCCTGTCATTCCAGAGTTTGGTGGCAGGGACAGCCAAGGGTTCCCCATGTCCATGATGATGCAGTATTTCACTTGGATCTCATCCCCTGGGTCCATGGAGGGCAAGCATGCGTGAGCTGGCCTCACCTACCTCCTTCCCCACATGGAGCTCATCTTGGACACGTGTCCTCCACGTGTACCCCAGACTGAAGAAAGACTTGCATTGGGCCTGCTGTTCCGGGCCAGTGGCCATCAGCCAGGTGCCTCGCCCCTGGTGCGCTGAAGCTCGGGCCCTTTCTGGCACCCTGGTGTCCTGCACTGAGCTGTGGTGAGCACATCCGGGTCCCACTGGATACATCCGCGGGGTGGGGGGTGCTCTAGGTTGGGTCAATGATGAGAACCTTATATTGTCCTGAAGAGAAATGATGACTTAAAAATCATGCTCAATAGGATTACGCTGAGGCCCAGCCTAGGGGAGAATTTTGGACATGGACCCTGGGAATCATGAGGTCCCTGGCAGGGCCATTGCAATTTGGGCTGGAGACCTTGAGGTCCTCAAGGGCCTCTCAGGTGTACCCAACCCTGTCTCTGTGCTCCTCCATGAAGCACAGCAGGCTCCCCGTGTAGACTTGGTTTGACCCACCAGTTCCCCAGAGGCAGGGCACATTGGGGGCTCCCGTTCTCCCCTTGTGTCTTTCAGTGAGCTCTTCAGCTCAGAAGTGCCCTTCGGCCTTGACCCGCAGAGGTGAGTACATCCTGCTGACGTCATGGGCCAGTCCACATGCTCGCCCCGAGGGTCAGTCTTCCAGACAGGAGGGTTTCCTGAGTGAGCTGACCTGTTTCTTCACTGGGGAGGGACAGTTTCTCTAGGAGGGCAGCTTCCTTGGGAATCGTACCCAAGACCTTGCCTTTCTGAAGACCTGCAGGGTAACAGTGGTCCAGGCAGGAAAGTGTTCCATTGGCACCACACAGGGCAAATTCCAGCTGAGACTGTGAGTGTATGTCAGCCTCGAGAACTGCCCAGGCCACATGAGGGGGTCACAAGGCCTCTGAGGCACCATGGGGATCACGCAAGAGCTCTCTTTCCCTGGAGAGGGTGCCTGAATAAGGTCATGGAGTCGGGCTGTGGACATTCAAAGATCGCCATCCAACCACGGCCCTAAAAGGGCTGACCTTTTGAGGAGTGGGCCATCCCATAGCGCCTCTTTGAGCTTGGTGGGGGTCAGTGCTGTTTCCCTGGGTGTGGGTCAAGGCTGAGCTCTGGCCGATGCCTGGTGGTGCTGCAGGTAGGCCCTGGGACTTGTGGGCTTTAGGCCATGTCGGCCGCCCTCGTCCTGCTGGAGGTCACCCCTTCCCCTTGGGTGAGAAACTGGAAGAGCCCATTTTGAGGTGGGAAGGCCTCCTGCAATGGTCCTGTTTCAGGAATTTACTGCCCAGGCTTTTTCTGTGCCACGGGGTCATCTCCACGGTGGTGGAATCTTCAGCCTAAGGAAAGGAAAGGGTGTCCTAGCTCTGTGTTTGGGACATGTGCGGGGCATGGATGGGGACCCATCAGAGAAAGCACGTGGCCCTGGGACTCCAGGCTTCTATTTCAGGTGTGGCTTGCAAAGGGCATCTGGACAGGTGTCTTTCATGCCCAGGGCAGGCTATGCCGCTTCCATGTCCACAGATGCATATGGCTTCTGGGCCAGCCTCCTCGGTTGGCCATGAGCTGGTTGGTGACCCTGGCCCTTTCTCAGTGATTCCAGAACAGCCCTGGGATGTTGTGAAGGGGAAGACAGAGGGGGCAGTAGAGGTGCCCTTAAGGTCTGCAGTAAGGCACTTCCTGGGTGTCTTGCCCAAGCCCAGTGACCTCCCTGCCCTGTGTTTTCAGGGTTTGGTCATGGGGAGGGCCAGGGGTGCCCCATGTCCGTGACGGGTCAGTGTTCCACATGGATCCTGTCACATGGGTAACCCTTACCTCCTTCCCACATGCAGGCGTGAGACATGGTTTGGAAACATATTCTCCTTCTGTCCCCCTAGATGTTGAGCCTGGAGGAAGACTTATGTGAGGCCCAGTGGAGCCAGGCCAGTGTCCGTCAGCCAGTAGCTCACCCCCTGGTGCACTGAAGTTTGGGCCCTTCCTGGCACCCTGGTCTCCTGCACTGAGCTGTGGTGAGCACATCTGAGACCCACTAGATCTATGTGTGGGGAGAGGGTGCTCTCGGTTGGGCCAGTGATGAGAATCTATATTTCCTGAAGAGAAGTGATGACTTAAAAATCATGCTCAACAGGATTACGCTGAGGCCCAGCCTGGGGGAGAGTTTTGGAAGACCATGCTGGGTCCCACTGGATCCATGCTTGGGAGGGGGTTGCCCTGGGTTGGGTCGATGATGAGAACCTTATATTTTCCTGAAGAGAGGTGATGACTTAAAAATCATGCTCAATAGGATTACGCTGAGGCCCAGCCTAGGGGAGAGTTTTGCTAGAGGATGCTGGGATGCCCAGATCTCCGGCAAGGCCACTATATACTGGGCTAGAGACCTGGAGGCCCTGAAGGGCATCTGGAGGGGGCCCAGCTCTGTCTCTGCACTCCTCTGTGAGGCAGCCCAGGCTCCCTGTGCGGGCTTGGTGTTGGTGCTCCTGTTCCCTGGGGGCAGGGAACGTGGGTGGCTCCTCCCTGAGCCCCCACTCTTTTCTTCTGTCTTTCAGTGAGCCTGTCTGCCAACGGTGGCCTCCTGGCATTGACCAACATAGGTGAGTGGATCGTGCTGGGGTCATGGTTCCTGAGCCAGGCCATGTCGGGTCACCGAGGGTCAGCCTTTGGGCCGCAAGGGTTTCCCCCGGGAGCTGACCTGAATCCCCACCAGGGAGGGATGGTTTCTTCAGGAGGGCAGCTTCCTTGGGAATTTTGCCTGAGGGGGATGTCTCCTCCGAAGCCCTGCAGGGGTGATGATGGTCCAGATAGCAAAGGGTTTCTTCAGCCCCATGCAAGACACGGCCCAGTTGAGCTGGTGTGCGGGTCAGGCCTGGAGAACTGAGGTGGGCCAGAGGGGCTCTGCGGTGCCATGAGTGTCATGTGGGAGCTCTCAGTCTCCGAGTTTGTTCTAGGGGATGGTGACGGTCGGGCTCTGGAGGTTCAAGGATCTCATCCCCTCTGTGGTCCTGAGTGGGGCCGACCCTGTTTACCGAGTTTGTTCTAGGGGATGGTGACGGTCGGGCTCTGGAGGTTCAAGGATCTCATCCCCTCTGTGGTCCTGAGTGGGGCCGACCCTGTTTAGCAGCAGGCCAACCCAGTGGCACGTACTCAGCCTGTTGGGGGTGGTGCGGTTTCAAAGGTGTTGGGTGAAGGCTGAGATCCGGCCAGCACCTGGTGGTGCTGTAGGCCAGCCGTGTGACCCATGGGCTTTGGGCTGTGGGTCAGCCTGCATCCCATTGGGGGTCACCCGTTCTCTGAGTTTTAGTGGCAGTAATGGTGGCATTCTGGGGTGGGGTGGCCCACTGTCCCTGTACCGGGAATTTGCCATCCGTTTTTTTCTGAGCCATGGGGTCACCTCCAGGGTGGCAGGGTCTTGGGCCCAAGGAAAGGAGAAGATACCGTGTAGCCATTGATTGGCCGAGTGTGGCCTGGCTCTGTGGGAGGCGTGTGGGATATGGATGCGGTCCTACCAGTGAAAGCACGTGGCCTGGGTCCCCAGGCTGTGATTTTCAGTGCACACTTGGATAGGGGCCTCAGCGGTTGCCCACCACGCCCAGGGGCAGGCTGTGTGACTGCCAGATTTGCATGGTGCATACCTTCCGAGCTCTCCTCCTTGGTTGGCCTTGAGCTGGTTGGTGGTTGTGGCCGGTGCCCCGTGGTCACAGGGCAGTCCTGGGATCATGCTGGGGAGCCAGCAGGGGCAGTGGAGGTGTTCTCTGGGGTGGTATAAGAGAACCCAAACCCATTGCCCAAACCCAGTGACCAGCCTGCCCTGTTTTTTCCGGGTTTGGTGCTGGGTCAGGGTTTCACATGGACCCATCACTTGGGTATCCCTTAACCCCTTTTCCACACAGAGGTGTGAGGCTCTATCTGGACACATGTACTCCTCCTGTCCCCCAGATGGTGAGCCCAGAGGAGGACTTGCATTGGGCACAATGGCCCTGGGACAGTGTCTGTCAGCTGAGTTCCCAGCCCGCAATGCGCTAAAGCTCAGGTCTTTCCCGGCACCTTGGTCTCCTGCCCTAAGCTTGGTAAGCACATCCTGGTTCCGCTGGATTTATGCGTGGGAGTGGGTGTCCTGGGTTGGGTCAATGATGATAACTTATATTTTTCTGAGGAGAGGTGATGACTTAAAAATCATGCTCAATAGGATTACGCTGAGGCTCAGCCTAGGGGAGAATTTTGGACGACCATGCTGGGTCCCACTGGATCCATGCTTGGGGAGGGGGGTGCCCTGGGTTGGGTCGATGATGAGAAACTTATATTGTCCTGAAGAGAGGTGATGACTTAAAAATCATGCTCAATAGGATTACGCTGAGGCCCAACCTAGGTGAGAATGTTGGAAGAAGACGCTGGGATCCCCAAGTCCCCAGCAGGCCCCTGTATTTTGCGCTGGAGACCTAATGACTCTGAAGGGCATCTGTAGGTGCCCAGCCTGTCTCTGCCCTCCTCTATGAGGCAGCCCAGGCTCCCTGTGTGGGTTTGGAGTCGGTGCTTTAGTTTCCTGGGCCAGGGAACCTTGGTGGCTTCTCCCTGAGCCCCCGTTCTCTCCTTGTGTTTTTCAGTGAGCTCCTCCACCCACGTGAGCCACCTGGCATTGACCATAATAGGTGAGTGGATCCTGCTGGGGTCATGGGCCGTTAGCCAGGCCACGTGATGTTGCCGAGGGTCAGACTTTCCACCTCGGGGAATTTCTCAGGCAGTTGACCTGAATTCCCACCATGAGGGCTGCTCTTTTGAGAATCAGACCCAAGGGGGACACCTTCCCTGAACCCCTGCAGGGTTGATGGTGGTCCAGGCAGGAAAGGGTATCTTCAGCACCCACATAGTACAACTCCTGTCTGGGACTAGGTGCTCAGGTCAGGCCTTAAGGACTGCTTAGGCCGCAAGAGGGGGACAGAGGGACTTTAGGCCACCACGGGGCTCACACGGGAGCTGTGGGTGCCTGGTGTGTGGTGCCCAAATGGGCCTCTTGGGTTGGGTCACAGAGATTCAAGGGTAGTGCCCCACCATGGCCCTGAATTTGACTGTCCCTGTTGAGAAAAGGGTCGTCCCAGTGGGTCTCCTGGATCCTGGTCATGGGGTGGCGTTGTTTTCTGGGGGTTGGGTCAAGGCAGAGCTCTGGCTGGCACCTGGTGGTATTGCAGGTCAGCCCTGGGACTTGTGGGTATCGGGCCAAGGGGGAGCCCACATCCCGCTGCAGGTCACCCTTTTTCCAACAGCAGTTGTCTGGAAGGGTGGCCTCCTGAGGTGGGAAGGCCTGCTGTTGAGGGACCTGTCCCGGCAATTTGTCTCTCAAGCTTCTTCTGAGCTTTGGGGCCACATCCAGGGTGCGGGGTCATGGGCCCAGGCAAAGGAGAGGGCTCTATGTGGGTCCTCATTGGCCACGTGTGACTGGCTCTGTGTGTGGGAGGTATACAGAGTATGGATGGGGACCCACCTGAGGAAGCACGTGGCCCTGTGGTGTGATTTCTGTTTCATTCTTGGAGAATGAATGCCTGGAGGCACGCTCCCCACACCCAGGGAAAGGCTACGTGACTGCCAAGTCTGTGCGGCTTGTGGCATCTGGGCAGGCTTCCTTCATTGGCCGTGTCCTGGATGGTGGCCAGGGTCTGTGCCCAGTGGTTTCAGGGCAGCCCTGGGGTGATGCAGGGGAGCAGTTTTGGACAGCAGAAGTGCTCCTGGGGTCTGCAGTACAGCACTGCCTGGGCATTTTGCTCAAGCCCAGTGACCCACCTGCCCTGTCCTCTCTGGGTTCGGTGGAAGGGAGGGCCGAGGGCGAACCCCATTCTTGACGGCTCAGCATTTAACATCAAAGTCACCACACGTGTCCATGGAGGGGGAGCAAGGGTGAGCTGGCACCCCTACCCCCTTCCCCGCATGGAGGTCAGTTTGGATACACGTCCTCCTCCTATCTCTGCAGATGGTGATCCTGGAGGAAAACTTGGGTTGGGTCTGCTGTCTCTGGGCCAACGTCAGTCACGCAGGTGCCCGGTCCACAGTGTGCTGAAGCTTGGGCCCTTCCCGGAGCTCTTGGCTCCTGCACTGAGCTGTGGTGAGCCCATCTGTGTCCTGCTGGATGCATGCGTAGGGAGCGGGGTACCCTGCATTGGGTCGATGATGAGAACCTTATATTGTTCTGAAGAGAGGTGATGACTTAAAAATCATGCTCAATAGGATTACGCTGAGGCCCAGCCTAAGGGAGGATTGTGGAAGAGGTTGCTGGGATTCTGAGGTCTCCAGCAGAGCCACTGTATTTTGGGCTGGAGCCCTGGAGGCCCTGAAGGGCATCTCTGGGGTGCCCAGCCTTGTCTCTGTGCTCCTCGATGAGGCAACCCAGGCTCCCTGTGCTGACTTTGTGTCCGGGCTCCGGGTCCTTCGGGGCAAAGCACATTGGAGGCTCCTTCCTGAGCCCCTGTTCTCCCCCATGTCTTTCAGTGAGCTCTTCTGCCCAAGTGGTCCCCCCGGCTTTGAGTGACATAGGTGAGTGGACCCTGCTGGTATTATGGGCCATGACTGATGCAGTATGGGGTCCCTGAGCTTCATCCTTTGGGCCACTAGGGTTTTCTCAGGGTACTACCTAATCCCCACCAGGGAGGGATGGTTTTTGCAGGAGAGCCACTTCTTGGGAATCTGACCCAAAGAGGATGCATTTTCTGAAGCCCTGCAGGGGTGATGGTGGTCCAGGCAGGAAAGAAGGTTTCCTTTAGCCCCACACAGGGCAGCTCCCAGGTGAAACCTGGTGGGCAGGTCAGCCCTGCAGGACTGCCCAGATCACATGGGGAGGGGGGCATAGGGGGTGCGATGCGCCCTGGAGGTCACACTAGAGTTCTTTCTTGCTAGAGATGGGTGAGTGATTGGGTCCCCACAGTCAGGCTGTGGAGATTCAAGGAATGCTTTACACGCATGGGCTTAAATGGGACGCCTTTGTGGGGCCTCCTTGAGCCTGGTGGGAGATGGCTCAGTTTCAATGTGGTTGGGTTAAGGCTGAGCTCTGTCTGCTGCCCAGTGGTGCTGCAGGCTGGCTCTGGGACTTCCGGGCTTTGTGCCAAGGCAGAAGCTCCCGTTCTGCTGGGGTCAACCCTTCTGTGAGGTCCAGTGGTAGGAAGGGTATCCTCCTGAGGTGGGAAGTCCTGCTGTAGCGGAACCTGTCCTGGGAATTTGCCACCCAGGCTGCTCTAAGCCATGGGGTCACCTCCAGGGTGGCGGGGTCTTGAGCCCAAGGAAGGGAGTAGATACCATGCGTGGCCCAGCTTTGTGTGTTGAATGTGTGCAGGGCATGGATGGAGACCCATTAAGCACATGGCCCTGGAGGCCCCCAGGCTTGGAGAGGGCACCAGGGCTGCTGTCCACCATTGCCAGGTTCAGGCTCTGGGACTGCCAGGTCTGCAGCGGCTCTTGGAGTCTGGGCCAGCCTCCATGGTTGGCCAGGAGTTAGTTGGTGGCCCTGTCGTGTGCCCCATGTCCCGAGTATAGCCGTGGGGTCATGTAGGGGAGGCAGCCTGGGCAGGAGGTGTTCCTGGGGCCTGTAGTAGAGTATAGCTCAGGCATCTTGCTGGAGCCAAGTGACCAGCTTGCCCTGTCTTTCCAGGGTTTCGTGGCAGGGAGAGCCAAGGGTGCCACATGTCCATTGGGTCAGTGTTCACCTGGATCCCATCACATGGGTATCCCTTAGCCCCTTGCCTGCATTGATGTGTGAGGTCCTAGTTGCACACATATCTTCTTCGTGTCGCTGCAGATGGTGGGCCTGGAGAAAGACTTGTGTTGGGTTTGCAGGCCTAGGGCCAGTGTTCATCAGCCAGGTGCTCAGTCCCATGTGCACTGAAGCTCTGACCCTGGTGCCCTGGTCTCCTGCACTCAGCTGTGGTGAGTACATCTGGATTTCTCTGGATGTTTGTGAGGGTGGGGGTTCCCTGGTTTGGGTCGACGATGAGAACCTTATATTGTCCCGAAGAGAGGTGATGACTTAAAAATCATGCTCAACAGGATTATGCTGAGGCCCAGCCTGGGTGACAATGTTGAAGAGAGGATGCTGAGATCCCGAGATTTCCGGCAGGGCCCCTGTATTTTCGGCTGGAGACATTGAGGCTCTGAAGGGCATCTCAGCGGGGCCTAACACAGTCTCTGCCCTCCTCCATGAGGCAGCCCGTGCTCCCTGTGTAGGATTGGTGTCCAGGTTCTGGTACCCCAAGGATGGGGACTTTTGGGAGCTCTTTGCTGACCTGTGTCCTCCCTTGTGTCTTTCAGTGAGTTCTTCCAACCAGGCGGGCCCCCTGGTATTCACTGGCATAGGTGAGTGGATTCTGCTGGTGTCCTGGGCCATGAGCCAGGCCATTGTGGGGTCAAGGGTCAGCGTATGGGGTACTAGGGTTTCCTCAGGGAGCCAACCTGCACTCCCACCAGAGAGGCATGGGTTCTCTAGGAGAGAGGCTTCTTTGTGAATGGGACCTTCGGAAGATACCTTCCCTGAGGCCTGCAGGGGTTACAGTGGTCCAAACAGGAATGGTTTCCTTGAGCCTCACCCAGGGGAGTGCCCAGCTGAGACTCAGTGCTCTGGTCAGGCCTTGAGGACTGCCCAGGCCACATGAGGGAGCCAGAGGGAGTTCTTGGTCTCCTGAGTGTGGTATGTGAATCTGCCTGTGCGGTTGGGTCGTGGAGACTCACGGATAGCGCCCCACCCACGACTGATAGAAATCATCCCTGCTGAGCAATGGGCCATCCCAGTGGGCTTCCTGGAGCCTGGTGGGGGTGGTGTCATGTCCCTGGTGTTGGGTTATGAATGGGGACCCACCGAGAAGTCACATGGCTCTAATTTCCATTATGTACTTGGAGAGGGCGCCCACCACCCTTAGTGGCAGGCTCTGTGACTGCCAGGTCTGCAGTGGTTTCTGGCATCAGGACCAGCCTCCTTGGTTGGCCATGAGGTGGTTGGTTACCCTGGTCCCTCCCCCGTGATTCTGCTGCAGCCCTAGAGTTATTCAGGGGAGCCGGCCCGGGGAGTGGACATGCTCTCGTGGCCTGCAGTAGGGCGCAGCCCAGGCATCTTGCCCAGCCCAGTGACCCGCTTGCCCTGTCTTTCCAGGGTTTGGTGGCAGGGAGGGCCAAGGATGCCCTGCATTGATGATGGGTCAGTTTTCTGTGTGGGTCCCATCACATGGGTATCCCCTACTCACCTTCCCTGCATTGACAGGTGAGGCCCTCTTTGGACCCATGTCCTCCTCCTGTCCCCCCAGATGGTCAGCCTGGAGGAAGACTTGTATTGGGCCTGCAGGCCCCAGGCCAGTATCTGTCAGCCAGCTCCTCAGCTCCCAGGGTGCTAAAGCTCAGACCCTTCCTGATGCCCTGGTCTCCTGCACTGAGCTGTGGTGAGGATGTCTGAGTCCCACCGGATGCATGCGTTGGGAGGTGGGGTGCCCTGGGTTGGTTGGCTCAAGGACAAGAACATTATGTTGTTCTGAAGAGAGGTGATGACTTAAAAATCATGCTCAGTAGGATTACGCTGAGGCCCAGCCTAGGGGAGAATGTTGGAAGAGGATGCTGGGATCCCGAGGTACCCTGGCAGGGCCACTGTATTTTGGGCTGGAGACCTGGAAGCCCTGATGGGCATCTGTAGGGTACTCAACTCTGTCACTTTGCTCCTTCATGAGGGTCCCCAGGATCCCTTGCCGGTTTAGTGCTGGGGCTACTTTTTCCTGGGGATGGGGCAGGTTGGCTCCTTCCTGAACCGGTATTCTCCCCTTGTGTCTTTCAGTGAGGTTTTCCACCCAGGTGGGCCCCCTGGCATTGATCAGCATAGGTGAGTGTATCCTGTGGGGGTCATGGGCCATTAGCCAAGCTGTGTGGGGTTGCTGGGTTCAGCCTTTGGTCCATGAGGGTTTTCTCAGGCAGCTGACCTGAATTCCCACCTGGGAGAGATGAGTTCTCCCCGAGGGTTGCTTTTTTGAGAATCGGACCCAAGGAGGATGCCTTCGCTGAAGCCCTGCATGGGTGACGGTGGTCCAGGCAGGAAAGGGTTCCTTCACCATCACGCAGGGCAGCCTCCAGCTGAGACTCAGTGCTTGGGTTAGGCCTTGAGGACTGCCCAAACACATGAGGGGGCCCAGAGGGGCTCCTGGTACCATGGGATCACATAGGAGCTCTCAGTCCCTGGAGTGTGGTGTGCGAATGGACCTCTAGGATTGGGTTTGGAGATTCAAGGATTGCGCCTCACCCATGGCCCTGAATGCTACCATCCCTGCTGAGCAAGTGGCCATCCCGGTGGCTCTCCTGGAGTCTGTTTGAGGGCAGCATTATTTCCCTGGGCTTGGGTCAAGGTGGAGCTCTGGCTGGCATCTGGTGGTACTACAGGTCAGCCCTGGGACTTAGGGGCTTTGGTCCAAAGGGCAGCCCTCATCCCGCTGGGGGTCATCCTATCTCCGAGGTCCAGTGTTGTGAGGTGTGGCGTCCTCAGGTGGGAATGCCCATTGTGAAGGGACCTGTCCCAATATTTTGTTGCTCAGGCTGCTTGGGAGCCATGGCGTTACCTTCAGAGTAGGAGAGTTTGGGCCCAGGCAAAGGAGAGGGCACCATGTGGCTCCCAATTGGCTACGTGTGGCTGACTCTGTGTGTGGGAGGTATGCGGAGTGTGGATGGTGACCCACCAGAGAAAGCACGTGGCCCTGCAGCCCCAGGCTGTGACTTCCGGTGCATGCTTGCAGAGTGCACCTGCACACACACCTCACGCCCAGGGGCAGGCCATGCAACTGCCAGGTCTGCAGCAGCACGTGGTCTCTGGGCCAGTCTTCTTGGTTGGCCATGAGGTGGCTGCTGGCCCTGGCCTGTGCCAGCTGGTCCCAGGAAGTCCTTGGGTCATGTGGAGGAGCCCTCTTGGGCAGTGGAGGGCTCTCAGGACCTGCCGTGTGGCACAGCATGGGTGTTTTGCCCGAGCCCAGTGACCTACCTGCCTTGTCCTTCCTGGCTTTGGTGGCAGGGAGGGCCAAGGGTCTGTGTCAGTGACAATTCAGTATTTCACTTGGATCTCATCACGTGTCCATGGAGGATGACAGTGCATGAGCTGGCACCACCTACCTCCCTCCCCACATGGAGGTCATTTTGCATACATATTCTACACCTGTCCCCCAGATGGTGAGACCAGAAGAAGAATTGCATCCCACCTGCTGTTCCTGGGTCAGTGGCCAGCAGCCGGGTGCCCAGCCCCTGGTGCGCTGAAGCTCAGGCCCTTCCTGTTGCCCTGGTCTCCTGCGCTGATCTTGGTGAGCACATCTAAGTCCTGCTGGATGCATGCATAGGTAGCAGGGTGCACTGGGTTGGGTCGATGATGAGAACTTTATATTGTCCTGAAGAGAGGTGATGACTTAAAAACCATGCTCAATAGGATTACGCTGAGGCCCAACCTAGGGGAGGATTTTGGAAGAGGACACTGGGATCCTGAGATCCCCGGCAGGGCCAAACTTATTTTGGACTGGAGAACTTGAGGCCCTGAAAGGTGTCTCGGAGGGTCCCAACTGTCTCTGAGCATCTCTGTGAGCTTGGTGTCCTGGCTTGGTTTCCCGGGGGTGGGCCATGTTGGCAGCTCCTTCCTGAACCCCTCTACTCCCATTGTGTCTTTCCGTGAGCTCTTCTGCCCAAGTGGGGCCCATGGACTTAAGTGGCATAGGTGAGTGCATCCTGTTGGGGTTATGGGCCGTAAGTGAGACAGAATGGGGTTATTGAGAGTCAACCTTCCAGCCACTAATGTTTTCTCAGGGTGCCAACCTATTTTCCACTGGGCAGGGAATGTTTCTCCGGGAGAGTCACATCATTGGGAATCTGACCCTGGAGAATGCCCTTCGTGAAGCCCTGAAGGGGAGATGATGGTGGTCCAGGCAGGAAAGGGTTCCTTCTGCCCAACACATGGCAGCACCTAGCTGAGACCTGGTGCTCTGGTAAGGCCTCAAGGACTGCCCAGGCCACATGAAAAGTGCAGGACGGGCTACAGGATGCCACAGGAGTAACAGGGGAGCTCTTGGTCCACAGAGTGTGGTGTGTGGATGGGCCCATGGGGTTGAGTTGCAGAGATTCAAGGGCCCTTCCCCACCCATGGCCCTGAATGTGACCATCCCTCTTGAGCAATGGGCCATCCCAGTGGGTCTCCTGGAGCCTAGTGGGGGACAGTGTTGTTTCCCTGGGGTTGGGTCAAGGCCGAGGTCTGGCCAGTACCTGATGGTTCCGCAGGCACTCGTGGGCTTTGGGCCAAGGGGCAGCCTGCATCCTGCTGGGGGTGACCCTTTCTTTGAGGTTGAGCGTCGTGAAGGGTGGCCTCCTGAGGTGGGAAGGCCTGCTATTGAGGGACCTCTACTGGGAATTTGGTGCTCAGGCTACTTTTGAGAGCCATGGTGTCACCTGCAGGGTGCAGCGTCTTGGGACCAAGCAAAGGAGAGGGCACCATGTGGCTCCCGATTGGCTGTGTGGCCGGCTCTGTGTCTGGGAGGTATGTGGAGTGTGGAAGGAGATCCACCAGAGAAGGCAAGTGGCCATGCAGCCTCCGCCTGTGATTTCTGGTGTACTCTTGAGAGGTCACCTGTATGCATGCCCCCCATGCCAAGGGGTAGGCTATGCCACTGCCAAGTCTGCAGTGGTGCTTGGCATCTGGGACAGCCTCCTTGGTTCACCGTGACCTGGGTGGTAGCCTGGGGCTATGACCAGTGGTTCTGGGGAAGGTCCATTTTGGGCAGTGGAGGTGCTCTCGAAGCCTGCAGTATGGCAGAGCCTGGGTGTTTTGCCTGAGCCCGGTGACCTTCCTGCCCTGCCCTTCCTGGGTTGAGGGGGAGGGAGGGCCAAGGGTACCCTGCATCAGTGATGAGTCAGTGTTCTCACGGATCTCATCACATGTGTCCATGGAGGGGGACCTAGCGTGAGCTGGCATCTGCCACCCCTTCTCCCCATGGAAGGTGGTCACATGTCTTCCACCTGTGCCCCTAGATAGTGACACCAGGGGAAGATTTTGTTTGGTCCCTTTTTCCTTAGCCAGTGCCCGTCAGCCAGGTCCCAGACCTTGGTGCGTTGAAGCTCAGGCCCTTCCTGGCACTCTGGTCTCTTGCACAGAGCTGTGGTAAGCACATCCAGGTTCCACTAGATGTTTGTGAGGGGAGGGGGGTCCCCTGATTTAGGTCAATAATAAGAACTTTATATTGTCTTGAAGAGAGGTGATGACTTAAAAATCATGCTCAGTAGGATTACACTGAGGCCCAGCCTAGGGGAGAATTTTGGAAGTGGACTCTGGGCTCCCAAGGTCACCGCCAGGGCCACTGTATTTTGGGCTAGGGATCTCAAGGCCCTGAAGGACATCTCGAGTGGGTTCAACCCTGTCTCTGCGCTCCTCTGTGAGGCAGCCCTGGCTCCCTGTGTGGGCTTGGTTTGGGTGCTCTGGTTCCCTGGGGTGGGGCATGTTGGCAGCTCCTCCCTGAACCCCTCTACTCCCCTTGTGTCTTTCAGTCAGCTCTTCTGCCCAGGTGGGCCCTTTGGCATTGACTTGCATAGGTGGGTGGATCCTGCTGGCGTCATGGGTCATGAGCATGGCAGAGTGGGGTCACTGAGCATTTCCTAAAAGTGTTGACCTGAATTCTCACCGGTGATGAGTTCTCTAGAAGGGTTGCTTCCTTGGGAATTGGATCCAAGGAGGATACCTATTCTGAAGCCCGGCAGGGGTATTGCTGGTCAGGCAGGAAAGGGTTCATTCAGCCCCACACAGGACAGCTCCCAGTTGAGACTCAGTACATTGATCAGGCCTTGAGGACTGCCCAGGTCACATCAGGTGGTTGCAGGTGCTCTGGGGCGCTATGGGGGACTCCCAGAGGCTTTCCATCAGAGGACAGGGATGGACGATCAAGCCCATGGGAGTCATGCCGTGGAGTTTCAAGGTTGTACCCCCTGCCATGCCCCTGAATGGGACCAATCCTGTTGAGCAATGGCGCCTCCTTGAGTCTGGTGGTGGGTGGTGCTGTTTCCCTGGGGTTAGGTCAAGGCTGAGCTCTGGCCAGCACCTCTTGGTGCTGCAGGCTGGCCCTGAATCTCATGGGCTTTGGGCCATGGGGACAGCTTGGGTCATGCTTGGGAAGGTCAACCTTCCTAGAGGTTTAATGGGGGGAATGGTGTCTTCCTAAGGTGGGAAGGCTCCCTGTCCAGCAACCTATCCTGGGAATTTGCCACATAGGCTATTTCTGAGCCATGGGGTCACCTCCAGGATGGTGACTTTTGGGCCCAAGGAAAGGGGAGCGCACTATGTGTCCCCAGATTTGTTGAGTGTGGCCCGGCTCTGTGTTTGGGAGGTGTGCAGGGCATGGATGGGGACCCATCAGAGAAACTATGTGGCCCTGCAGCCCCATGCTGTGATTTCTGGTTCACACTGGGACATGGGCAGGGGCAGGTGCTCGGCAGTGGCGCGTGGCATTTGGACCAGCCTCCTGTTTGGCCATGAGCTGGTTGGTGGCACTCGCCTATGCCAAGTGGTCCCAGGGTGGCCCTGACCTCGTTCAGGGCAGCTGGCGGGGCAGTGGAGATGCTCTTGGGACCTGCTGTAGGGTGCAGCCTGGGCTTCCTGGTTTTGGTGGCAGGGAGGGCCAAGGGTGCTCCGTGTCCGTGTCCCTGACAGGTCAGTGTTCCCAATGGATCCCATCACATGGGTGATGGGTATCCCCCACTCACCTTCGCCCATGGAGGCATGAGGCCCTATTTGGACACATGTCCTCCTCCTTTCCCCTAGATGGTGAACCCAGAGGAAGACTTGCATTGGGCCCAATGTCTCTGGGCTTGTGTCCGTCAGCCATGTGCCCAGCCCCTGGTGCACTGAAGCTCAGGTCCTTCTTGGCACCCTGGTGTCCTGCACTGAGCTGTGGTGAGCCTCTCTGCGTCACACTGGATGCATGTGTGGGAGGAGGTTGGCTTCAGTTGGGTCAATGATGAGAACCTCATATTGTCCTGAAGAGAGGTGATGACTTAAAAATCATGCTCAATAGGATTACGCTGAGGCCCAACCTTGCTGAGAATTTTGGAAGAGGACACTGGGATCTCGAGGTCCCTGGCAGACCGCTGTATTTTTGGTTGGAGACCTCAAGGCCCTGAAGGGCATCTTGGTGCCCCCCAACCTTGTCTCTGTGCTCCTCTGTGAGGCAACCGAGGCTCCCTGTGGGGGCTTGGTGTCAGAGTCCTGTTACCTGGGGGCGAGGCAGGTTGGTGGCTCCTCCCTGAGTCTCCCTTATCCTTTGTGTCTTTCAGTGAGCTCTTCTGCCCAGGTGGGCCCCCTGGCATTGACTGGCATAGGTGAGTGGCATCTGCTGTCGTCATGGGCCATGAGCCAGGCTGCAGGGGGATGCTGGTTCAGCCTTTGGGACAAGAAGGTTTCCTCAGGGAGCCAGGGAATGGGTTCCCCACTAGGGAGGGATGGGTTCTCCAGGAGGGCCGATTTCTTCCAGATGGGTCCCATGGAAGACATCTTCTCTGAAGACCTGCAGGAGTGACCATGGTTGAAGCAGCAAAGAGTTTCTTCAGCCCCATGCAGAGCAGCTCCCATGAGACTGTGCGTGGGTCAGTCCTGGAGAACTGCCCAGGCCACCTGTGGAGTGCCACATGGGCTTCGGGGCACCACAGGGGTCATGCAGGAACTCTCTCAGTCCTCAGGGTTGTTGCGGGGGTGGTGACCGAGCAGTCAGGCCTTAGTGTTTCAAGGTTCACGCCCACCCATGGCCCTGAATGGGCCTGACACTGTTGAGCACTGAGCCATCCCAGTGGCGCCACAGTGAGCCTGGTGGGGGTGCTCACCGCACCAAACCCGTTGTTGAGCTCTGGCCGGCTCCTGATAGTGCTGCAGGCTGGCCTAGGGACTGTGGGCTTCGGGCCAGGTCAGCAGCCTGTGTCCTTCGTGGGGTGGGGGGGGGGGGGTCACGCCTTTCCTGAGTTCCAGTGTAAGGATGGGTGGCCTCTTTAGGTGGGAAGGCCCACTGTTGAGGGACCCTGTTGGGGAATTTTCTGCCCAGGCTGCTTCTGAGCCATGACATCAACTCCTGGTGGCAGGGTCTTGGGCCCAAAGAATTGAGAAGACACCATGTGGCCCCTGATTGGTCAAATATGGCCTGCTCTGAGTTTGGGAGGTATGTGGGACATGGACGGGGACGCACAAGAGAAAGCACGTAGCCATGGGCCGCAGGCTGAGATTTCCAGTATGCGCTTGGAGAGGGTGCCTGGTTGGGGGCCCACCCTGCCCAGGGGCAGGCTATGCAACTGCCACATCTGCAGCGGCTCCTGGTGTCAGGACCAGCCTCCTTTGTAGGCGGTGAGCTGTTTGATGGCCCCGGCCCATGTCCAGGGGTCTCTGTACAGCCTCAGGTTCTTGTGGATCAGTCAGCGTGGGCAGTGGAGGTTATCTTGAGGCCTGCAGTAGGCACAGCACAGGTGTCTTTCCGGAACCCAGTGACCTGCCTGTCCTGTCCTGTCCTGTCCTTCCAGGGTGTAGTGGCGGGGAGGGCCAGGGGTGCCCCATGTCCATGACAGGTCAGGATTTCACATGGATCCCATCACATGGGTCCTCCTCCTGTCCCCCTGGATGGTGAACCTGGAGGAGGATTGCATTAGGCCCACTATGCCCAGGCCAGAGGCCATCTGCCAAGTGCCCAGGCCCTGTCGCACTGAACCTTAGGCCCTTCCTGGTGCCCTGGTCTCCTGCATGGAGCAGGTGAGCTCATCTGAGTCTGACCCTAGGTTAGGTCAATGATGAGAACCTTATATTGTCCTGAAGAGAGGTGATGACTTAAAAATCATGCTCAATAGGATTACGCTGAGGCCCAGCCTAGGGGAGAGTTTTGCTAGAGGATGCTGGGATGCCCAGATCTCCGGCAAGGCCACTATATTTTGGGCTAGAGACCTGGAGGCCCTGAAGGGCATCTGGAGGGGGCCCAGCTCTGTCTCTGCACTCCTCTGTGAGGCAGCCCAGGCTCCCTGTGCGGGCTTGGTGTTGGTGCTCCTGTTCCCTGGGGGCAGGGAACGTGGGTGGCTCCTCCCTGAGCCCCCACTCTTTTCTTCTGTCTTTCAGTGAGCCTGTCTGCCAACGGTGGCCTCCTGGCATTGACCAACATAGGTGAGTGGATCGTGCTGGGGTCATGGTTCCTGAGCCAGGCCATGTCGGGTCACTGAGGGTCAGCCTTTGGGCCGCAAGGGTTTCCCCCGGGAGCTGACCTGAATCCCCACCAGGGAGGGATGGTTTCTTCAGGAGGGCAGCTTCCTTGGGAATTTTGCCTGAGGGGGATGTCTTCTCCGAAGCCCTGCAGGGGTGATGATGGTTCAGATAGCAAAGGGTTTCTTCAGCCCATGCAAGACACAGCCCAGTTGAGCTGGTGTGCGGGTCAGGCCTGGAGAACTGAGGTGGGCCAGAGGGGCTCTGCGGTGCCATGAGTGTCATGTGGGAGCTCTCAGTCTCCGAGTTTGTTCTAGGGGATGGTGACGGTCGGGCTCTGGAGGTTCAAGGATCTCATCCCCTCTGTGGTCCTGAGTGGGGCCGACCCTGTTTACCGAGTTTGTTCTAGGGGATGGTGACGGTTGGGCTCTGGAGGTTCAAGGATCTCATCCCCTCTGTGGTCCTGAGTGGGGCCGACCCTGTTTAGCAGCAGGCCAACCCAGTGGCGCGTACTCAGCCTGTTGGGGGTGGTGCAGTTTCAAAGGTGTTGGGTGAAGGCTGAGATCCGGCCAGCACCTGGTGGTGCTGTAGGCCAGCCGTGTGACCCATGGGCTTTGGGCTGTGGGTCAGCCTGCATCCCATGGGGGGTCACCCGTTCTCTGAGTTTTAGTGGCAGTAATGGTGGCATTCTGGGGTGGGGTGGCCTACTGTCCCTGTACCGGGAATTTGCCATCCGTTTTTTTCTGAGCCATGGGGTCACCTCCAGGGTGGCAGGGTCTTGGGCCCAAGGAAAGGAGAAGATACCGTGTAGCCATTGATTGGCCGAGTGTGGCCTGGCTCTGTGGGAGGCGTGTGGGATATGGATGCGGTCCTACCAGTGAAAGCACGTGGCCTGGGTCCCCAGGCTGTGATTTTCAGTGCACACTTGGATAGGGGCCTCAGCGGTTGCCCACCACGCCCAGGGGCAGGCTGTGTGACTGCCAGATTTGCATGGTGCATACCTTCCAAGCTCTCCTCCTTGGTTGGCCTTGAGCTGGTTGGTGGTTGTGGCCGGTGCCCCGTGGTCACAGGGCAGTCCTGGGATCATGCTGGGGAGCCAGCAGGGGCAGTGGAGGTGTTCTCTGGGGTGGTATAAGAGCACCCAAACCCATTTCCCAAACCCAGTGACCAGCCTGCCCTGTTTTTTTAGGGTTTGGTGACGGGGTGGGCCAAGGGTGCCCCACATACGTGACGGGTCAGGGTTCCACATGGACCCATCACTTGGGTATCCCTTAACCCCTGTTCCACACAGAGGTGTGAGGCTCTATCTGGACACATGTACTCCTCCTGTCCCCCAGATGGCGAGCCCAGAGGAGGACTTGCATTGGGCACAACGGCCCTGGGACAGTGTCTGTCAGCTGAGTTCCCAGCCCGCAATGCGCTAAAGCTCAGGCCTTTCCCGGCACCCTGGTCTCCTGCCCTAAGCTTGGTGAGCACATCCTGGTTCTGCTGGATTTATGCTTGGGAGGGGGTGCCTTGGGTTGGGTCAATGATGAGAACCTTATATTCTCCTGAAGAGAGGTGATGACTTAAAAATCATGCTCAATAGGATTACGCTGAGGCCCAACCTAGGTGAGAATGTTGGAAGAAGACGCTGGGATCCCTAAGTTCCTAGCAGGCCCCTGTATTTTGCGCTGGAGACCTTATGACTCTGAAGGGCATCTGTAGGTGCCCAGCCTGTCTGCGCTCCTCCCTGTGCAGGTTTGGAGTCGGTGCTCTAGTTTCCTGGGCCGAGGAACCTTGGTGGCTTCTTCCTGAGCCTCTGGTTTTTCCTTGTGTTTTTCAGTGAGCTCCTCCACCCATGTGAGCTGCCTGGCATTGACCATAATAGGTGAGTGGATCCTGGCTGGGGTCATGGGCCATGAGCCAGGCCATGTGGGGTCCCCATGTTTCAGCTGCTGGGCCACAAGGCCTGTCTTAGGCAGCCAACTTGATTTCCCACCTGGGAGAGATGGGTTCTCCAGGAGGCAACTTTTTTGGGAATCACAGCCAAGGAGGAAGCCTTCCCTGAAGCCCTGCTGGGGTGATGGTAGTCCAGGCAGGAAAGGGTTCCTTCTGCCCAATGCAGGTCAGCACTCTCCTGAGACTTGGTACTCCAGTAAGGCCTTGAGGACTGCCCAGGCCACATGAAAGGGCCAGAAGGGCTTCAGTGCCCCCTCGTAACAGGGGAGCTCTTGGTCCCCAAGAATGTGGTGTGCGAATGGGCCATGTGTGGCTGGCTCTGTGTCTGGGAGGTATATGGAGTGTGGATGGAGATCCACCAGAGAAAGCAAGTAACCCTGCAGCCTCTGGCTGTGATTTCTTGTGCACGCTTGGAGAGGATGTCTATACACATGCCCACCACACACAGGGGCAGGCTATGCCACTGCCAAGTCTTCAGAGGTGTGTGGGATCTGGGACAGCCTCCTTGGTTGGCCGTGACTTGGTTGGTGGCCTGTGCCTGTGTCCAGTGGTCTCAGGGCAGGTCTGGGGTCATGCAGCGGGGAGCCATTTAGGGCAGTGGAGGTGCTCTCAGGGCCTACAGTATGGCAGAGCCTGGGCATTTTGCCTGAGCCCAGTGACCCTCCTGCCCTGCCCTTCCCTGGTTGGGTGGCAGGGAGGGCCAAGGGTTCCCTGTGTCGGTGACGAGTCAGTATTTCATATGGAGTTCATCACATGTGTCCATGGAGGGGACCAAAGATGAACTGGCACCCACCATCTCCTTCTCCACATGGAAAGTGGTCACGTGTCCTCTCCTGTACGCCTAGATGGTGAGACTGGAGGAAGACTTCTGTGGGCCCGCTTTTCCTGGCCCAGTGCTGTCAGCCAAGTCCCCGTTCCTGGTGCGCTGAAGTCCTGGCCCTTCTTTGCACCCTGGTCTTCTGCACTGAGCTGTGGTGAGCACATCCAGGTCCCACTGGATGTTTGTGAGGGGATGGTGGTGGCTTGGGTTGGGTCAGTGATGAGAACCTTACATTGTCCTGAAGAGAGGTGATGACTTAAAAATCATGCTCAATAGGATTACGCTGAGGCCCAGCCTAGGGGAGAATTTTGGAAGAGGATTCTGGGATCTTGACGTCCGGCAGGGCCACTATATTGTGGACTGGAGACCTGGAGGTCCTGAAGGGCATCTCGAGGTGCCCCCTCCTCTGTCTCTGTGCTTCTCCTTGAAGGAGCCCAGGCTCTCTTTGTGGGCTTGGTTTCGGTGCTCCAGTTTCCCGGGGGCAGGGAACATGGGTGGCTCCTTCCTGAGCTCCCATTCTCACCTTGTGTCTTTCAGTGAGCTCTTCTGCCTAGGACAGCCTTCTAGCATGGCCTGGCATAGGTGAGTGGATCCTGTTGGGTCATGGGCCATGAGCTAGAGTGTATGGGGTCCCCAGGGTTCAGCCTTTGGGCCACAAGGATTTTCCCTGGGAGCTGGCCTGAATTTCCACCTGGGAGGGAAGGGTCTTTTTTGGGAATCAGACCCAAGGAGAACGTCTTCCCTGAGGCCCTGCAGGGGTGATGGTGGTCCAGGCAGGAAAGAGTTCCTCTGCCCAACACAGGGCAGCTTCCAGCTGAGACTTGGTGCTCCAATAAGGCCTCAAGGACTGCCCAGGCCACATGAGAGGTCCAGAGGGGATACGGTGTGCCACAGGAGTAACGGGAACTCTTAGTACCTGGAGTGTGGTGTGTGAATGGGCCCATAGGGTTGGGTTGCAGGGATTCAAGGATCATGCCCCACCCATGGCCCTGAATGTGACCGTCCCTGTTGAACAATTGGCCATTCTAGTGAGTCTCCTGGAGCCTGGTGGGGGCGGCATTGTTTCTCTGGGGTTGGGTCAAGGGAGAGCTCTGGCTGGCACCTGGTGGTGCTGCAGGTCAGCCCTGGGACTCATGGACTTTGGGCCAAAGAGCAGCCTGCATCCCCCTGGGGGCTATGGCATCACCTCTAAGGTTGTGGGATCTTGGGCCCAAGCAAAGGAGAGGGCACCATGTTACTCTGGATTGGCCAGTGAGGCCCAGCTCGGTGTGTGGGAGGGTTGCAGAGCGTGGATGGAGACCCACCAGAGAAAGCACGTGGCCCTGCAGCCCCAGGCTGTGATTTCCATTGTACGCTTGGAGAGGGCATCTTGGTGTGCGCCCACCACGCCCAGGGGCAGACTGTGCGACTGCCAGGTCTGTAGCAGTACATGGCATCTGGGCCAGCCACCTTAGTTGGCCATGAGTTGGCTGGTGGCCCTGGCCCTGCCTTCTGGTGCCAGAGCGGTCCTGGGGTCAGAGAGCCATTTTGGGCAGTGGCAGTGCTCTCAGGATCTTAGTACAGCACAGTCTGGGTGTTTTGCCTGAGCCCAGTGACCTGCCTGCTCTGTTCCTTCAGGGTTTGGTGGCAGGTAGGGCCGAGAGTGCCCCTCGGCTGTGACAGGTCGGTACTTCACATGGATCTCATCACATAGGTCCATGGAGCGAGAACAAACGTGAGCCCCCACCCTCTGCTGCCTCCCCACATGGAGTTCATTTTGGACACATATCCTCCTCCTGTGCCTCAGTTGGTGAGACCGGAGGAAGACTTGGATTGGGTCCACTGTTGGGCCAGTGTCTGTCAGCCAGGTGCCCAGCCCCCAGTGCACTGAAGCTCAGGCCCTTCCATGAACCCTGGTCTCCTGCACTGAGCTTGGTGAGCACATCCGGGTCCTGCTGGATGCATGCATGAGGAGGGGGATGTCTTAGGTTGGATCGATGATGAGAACCTTATATTGTCCTGAAGAGAGGTGATGACTTAAAAATCATGCTCAATAGGATTACGCTGAGGCCCAGCCTAGAGGAGAATGTTGGAGGAGGACGCTGGGATCCCAAGATCCTGGCAGGGTCACATTTATTTTAAGCTCGAGAACTTGAGGAACTGAAGGGCATCTTTCTTGGGTGTGGGGACAACCCTGTCTCTTTGCTCCTGCACGAGGCAGCCCAGGCTCTCTCTGTGGGCTTGGTGTCTCTGCTCCAGTTCTTCAGGGGTAGGGCACATTGGCAGCTCCTTCCTGAGCCCCCTGTCCTCCCTGTGTCTTTCAGTGAATTCTTCTGCCCAGGTGGGGCCCCTGGCTTTGAGCGGCATAGCTGAGTGCATCCTGTTTTGGCCCTGGGCTGTGAGTGAAGGGTCATCCAGAGTCAGCCTTCAGGTCACTAGGGTTTTCTGAGGGAGACAACTGAATCCCCAGCAGTAGGGATGGCTCCTCCAGGAGGGTCGCTTCTTGGGGAGTCTGACCCAAGGAGCATGCATTTCTTAAAGCCTTGCAGGGGTGATGGTGGTCTAGGCAGGAAAGCATTCCTTCAGCATACGATAGGGCACTTTCTAGCTGAAATTCAGTTCATGTGAATTCAGCCTCGAGGACTGCCAGGCCACATGAGGGTGGCAGCAGGGTTGCTGGGGCACCCTGGGGCTCACATTGGAATTCTCCTTCCCCACCGAGAGGGGTGGTTGATGGGGCCTACATGATCAGGCTTCAGAGATTCGGGAATGCTACCTACCCATGGCCTGGAATGGGATCGACCCTGTTGAGCTATGGGCCATTTCAGTGGCGCCTCCCTGAGCCTGGTAGGGGGCGGTGCTGTTTTCATGCTGTTGGATGAAGGCTGAGCTCTGGCTGATGCCTGGAGGTGCTGCAGGCCGTTCCTGGGGCTCATGGGCTTTGGGACAATATGGCAGCTCACGTCCTGCTAGGATCATCCGGGAAGGGTGGGCCCCTGAGGTGGAAAGACCTACCACCTTTTCTAGGAATTTGACACCTAGACTGCTTCTGAGTGATGGGGTCATCTCCAGGCTGGCGGGGTCTTGAGCTCAAGAAAGGAGAAGACAGCATGTGGTTCTCGATTGGCCGAGTGTGGCCTGGCTCTGTGGGAGGTGTGCAGGGCATGGTGGGGACCCATCAGAGAGGTCACATGGCCCTGCAGGCCCCCAGGCTTTGATTTCTGTTGTGTGCTTAGAGTGGACACCGGGGCAGCCCTGCCACACCCAGGAGCAGGCTCTGCCATGGCCAGGTCTGGAGTGGCTCCTGGCATCGGGACCATCCTCCTTGGTTGGCCATGAGCAGGTTGCTTGTCGTGGTCCATGCTCCATTGTCCCGGCGTGGGCCTGGGGTGGTTTAGGGGAGCTGGCCCAGGCAGTGGAGGTGCTTTCATGGCCTGCAGTAGTGTACAGACCAGGCATCTTGCCCCAGCCCAGTCACCCGCTTGCCCTGTCTGTCCAGGGATTGTTGGTGGGGAGGGCCAGAGGTGCTGCAACTGTGATGGGTCAGTATAATGCATGGATCCATCACATGGGTATCCCCTACCCACCTTCCCTGCATTGATAGGTGAAGCCCTCTTTGGACATATGTCCTCCTCCTGTCCCTTTGGACGGTGAGCCTAGAGGAAGACTTGTGTTGGGACCACAGCCCCAGGACAGTGTCCATCAGCCAGCTCCTCATCTCCCAGTGCGCTGAAGCTTGGACCCTTCCTGGCACCCTGGTCTCCTGTACTGAGCCATGGTGAGCACATCCAGGTCCTGCTGGATACGTGCATGGTGAAAGGGGGTGCCCTAGGTTGGTTGATGGTGATAACCTTATATTGTCCTGAAGAGAGGTGATGACTTAAACATCATGCTCAATAGGATTATGCTGAGGCCCAGCCTAAGGGAGAATGTTGGAGGAGGACCCCGGGATCCCGAGATACCCAGCAGGGCCACTGTATTTTGGGCTGGAGAACTTGAGGCCCTGAAGGGCACCTTGGGTGTGCCCAACTCTGTCTCTGTGCACCTCCATGAGGCAGCCCAGGCTCCCTGTGTGGGATTGGTGTCCTGGCTCTGGTACCCTGGGGGTGGGGACTTTTGGGGGCTCCTTGCTTATTCATGTCCTCCCTTATACCTTTCAGTGAGCTCTTCTGCCTAGTTGGACCCCTGGCATTGACCGGCATAGGTGAGTGGACCTTGCTGGGGTCATGGGCCATTAGCCGTCAGTGGCCATTAGCCAGCTGTCTGGGGTTGCCGAGGTTCAGAGTTCGCACTGCAAGGGTTTTCTCGGGAAGCCTGCCTGAGTTCGCACCTGGGATTGATGAGTTCTCCAGGAGTGCTGCTCTTCTGGGAATCGGACCCAAGGAGGATGCCTTCCGTGAAGCCCTGCATGGGTGACATTGCACCAGGATGGGAAGGGTTCCTTCACCATCATGCAGGGCACCTCCAGCTGAGACTCAGTGCTTGGGTTAGGCCTTGATGACTGCCCAAACACATGAGAGGGGCCAGAGGGGCTCTGGGTGCCATGGGGTTACATAGGAGGGCTCAGTCCCACATATGTGGTGTGTGAATGGACCTGTAGGGTTGGGTTGTGGAGATTCGAGGATCGTGCCTCGCCCATGGCCCTGAATGCGACTGTCCCTGTTGAACAATTCGCCATCCCGGTGGGTCTCCTGGTTGAGGGCAGCATTGTTTCCCTGGGGTTGGATCAAGGTGGAGCTCTGGCCAGACCTGGTGGTGCTACAGGTCAGCCCTGGGACTCCTGGGCCTTGGGCCAAGGGGCAGCCCTCATCCTGCTGAGGGTCATCCTATCTCCGAGGTTGAATGTCATGAAGGGTGGCCTCCTGAGTTGGGAAGGCTTGCTGTGAAGGGACCTGTGTCATTTTGTAGCTCAGGGTGCTTGGGAGCCATAGTGTCAGCTTCAGAGTAGTAGAGTTTGTGCCCAAGCAAAGGAGAAGGCACCATGTGGCTCCCAGTTGGCCACCTGTGGCTGCCTGTGTGTGTGCGAGGTATGCGGAGTATGGATGGTGACCCACCAGAGAAAGCACGTGGCCCTGCAGCCCCACGCTGTGACTTCTGGTGCACGCTTGCAGAGTGCAGCTAGATCTAGATGCGCGCTCCCCACACCCAGGGTAGGCTGTGTGGCTGCCAGGTCTGCAGCAGCGTGTGGTCTCTGGGCCAGCCTTCTTGGTTGGCCATGAGTGGCTGGTGGCCCTGGCCTGTGCCCAGTGGTCTTAAGGAGGAGTCCCTTGGGTCATGCAGGGGAGCCTCTTGGGCTGTGGAGATGCTCTCAGGACCTGCCGTATGGTGCAGCCTGGCATTTTGTCTGAGCCCAGCAACCTACCTGCCCTGTCCTTCCAGAGTTTGGTGGCAGGGACAGCCAAGGGTTCCCCATGTCCATGATGATGCAGTATTTCACTTGGATCTCATCCCCTGGGTCCATGGAGGGCAAGCATGCGTGAGCTGGCCTCACCTACCTCCTTCCCCACATGGAGCTCATCTTGGACACGTGTCCTCCACCTGTACCCCAGACTGAAGAAAGACTTGCATTGGGCCTGCTGTTCCTGGGCCAGTGGCCATCAGCCAGGTGCCTCGCCCCTGGTGCGCTGAAGCTCGGGCCCTTTCTGGCACCCTGGTGTCCTGCACTGAGCTGTGGTGAGCACATCCGGGTCCCACTAGATACATCCGCGGGGAGGGGGGTGCTCTAGGTTGGGTCAATGATGAGAACCTTATATTGTCCTGAAGAGAAATGATGACTTAAAAATCATGCTCAATAGGATTACGCTGAGGCCCAGCCTAGGGGAGAATTTTGGAAGATGATGCTGGGATCCCAAGGTCCCTGGCAGGGCCCCTGTATTTTTGGCTGGAGAACTTGAGGCCCTGAAGGGCATCTCGGGGGGCCCAACTCTGTCTGTGAGCACCTCCTTGAGGCAGACCAGGCTCCCTGTGTGGGCTTGGTGTCCCAGCTCTGGTTCCCTGGGGGTGGGGTATGTTGATGGCTCCTTTCTGACTGGTTTCTTCCCCGGTGTGTTTCAGTGAGCTCTTCTACCCAGGTGGGCCCTGGGGGCTCAAGCAGCATATAGGTGAGTGCATCCTGTTGGGGTCAAGCACCATGAGTGAGACAGCATGGGGTCAAGGGGTTTTGGGCAACTAGGGTTTTCTCAGGGTGCCAACCTATTTCTGGGAAGGGAATGTTTTTCCAGTAGGGTCGCATCCTTGGGGATCTGACCCTGGCGAACGCCTTTCGTGAAGCCCTGCAGGGCTGATGGTGGTCCAGGCAGGAAAGGGTTCCTTCAACCCAACATAGGGTAGCTCCCAGCTGAAACTTAGTGGTTTTTTTCAGGTCTTGAATACTGCCCAAGCCACATGTCGGGGGCTACAGGGGCTCCGGGGCACCCTGGGGGTCACACTGGAGTTCTCCTCCCTGGAGAGTGGTGGGTGATTGGGCCACACAGTCATGCCTCAGAGATTCAAGGAATGTGTCCCACCCACAGCCCTGAATGGGACTGATCCTGTTGAGCAATGGGCCATCTTAGTGGTGACTCCTTGAGCCTGGTAGAGGGTGGTGCTCTTTTAGTGTGTTTGGTCAAGTCAGCTCTGGCTGGTGCCTGGAGGTGCTGCATGCTGACCCTGGGTCTCGTGGTCTTTGGGCCAAGGGGGCAGCTCGTGTTCCGCTGGGGTCACTCCTTCCTTGAGGTCCAGTGGTAGGAAGGGTGACCTCTTGAGTGTGGGGGAAGGTCTGATATTGAGGGACCTGTCCTGGGAATTTGCCACCTAGGCAGCTTCTGAGCCATGGGGTCATCTCCAGTGTGGCGGGGTCTTGAGCCAAAGAAAAAGAGAGGGCACCATGTGGTTTCCGATTGGCCGAGTGTGGCCTGGCTCTGTGGGAGGTGTGCAGGGCATGATGGGGACTCACAGGGAAAGTACGTGGCCCTGGAGTCCCCCAGGCTTTGATTTCTCGTGTGTGCTTGGAGAGGGCACTAGAGCGGGTGCCTACCATGCCCACGGAAGGCTCTGTGGCTGCCAGGTCTGCATTGGCTCCTGGCATCAGGGCCTGTCTCTTTGTTTACCCACAAGATGGTCAGTTGCCCTGGCTCGTGCCCCGTGGTCCTGGTGTGGCCCTGGGATTGTTCAGGGGAGCCGACACAGGCAGTGGAGGTGCTCTCTGGGACTGCAGCAGGGTGCAGCCCAGGGATCTTGCTCCATCCCAGTGACCCCCTTGCCCTGTCTTTCCAGGGTTTGGTGGTGGGGAGGTTCAAGGGTGCCCTGTGTCCATAATGGGTCAGTGTTCTCCATGGATCCTATCACATGGATGTCCCTTACCCACCTTCCCTGCACTGATACTTTAGGCCCTGGTTGGACACATGTTCTCTTGTCCCTGCAGGTGGTGAGCCTGGAGGAAGACCTGTGTTGGGTGTACAGGCCCAGGGCCAGTGTCCATCAGCATGGTGCTCATCCCTTGGTGCATTGAAGCTCGGACTCTCTCTGGAACCCTGGTCTCCTGCACTGAGCTGTGGTGGGCACATCCAGGTTCCAGTGGGTGCATGCGTGGGGAGGGGGTTGTCCTTGGTTGGGTCAATGATGAGAACCTCATAATGTCCTGAAGAGAGGTGATGACTTAAAAATCATGCTCAATAGGATTACGCTGAGGCCCAGCCTAGGGGAGAATTTTGGAAGGGGATGCTGGGAATTACGAGTTCCCTGGCAGGACCACTGTATTTTGGGCTGGTGACCTGTGGGCCCTGAAGGGGCCAGCCCTGTCTCTGCTCCTCCGTGATGCAGCCCAGGCTCCCTATGGAGGCTTGGTATCCAGGCTGTTGTTCCCTTGGGGGCAGGGCCCGTGGGTGGCTCCTCCATGAGCCCCATTCTCCCCTTGTGTCTTTCAGTGAGCTCTTCCACCCGGGCAGGCCCCCTGGTATTCAGTGGCATAGGTGAGTGGATTCTGCTGGTGTCCTGGGCCATGAGCCAGGCCATTTTGGGGTCAAGGGTCAGCCTATGGGGTACTAGGGTTTCCTCGGGGAGCCAACCTGCACTCCCACCAGAGAGGCATGGGTTCTCTAGGAGAGAGGCTTCTTTGTGAATGGGACCTTCGGAAGATACCTTCCCTGAGGCCTGCAGGGGTTACAGTGGTCCAAACAGGAATGGTTTCCTTGAGCCTCACCCAGGGGAGCGCCCAGCTGAGACTCAGTGCTCTGGTCAGGCCTTGAGGACTGCCCAGGCCACATGAGGGGGCCAGAGGGAGTTCTTGGTCTCCTGAGTGTGGTATGTGAATCTGCCTGTGCGGTTGGGTCGTGGAGACTCACGGATAGCGCCCCACCCACGACTGATAGAAATCATCCCTGCTGAGCAGTGGGCCATCCCAGTGGGCTTCCTGGAGCCTGGTGGGGGTGGTGTCATGTCCCTGGTGTTGGGTTATGAATGGGGACCCACCGAGAAGTCACATGGCTCTAATTTCCATTGTGTACTTGGAGAGGGCGCCCACCACCCTTAGTGGCAGGCTCTGTGACTGCCAGGTCTGCAGTGGTTTCTGGCATCAGGGCTAGCCTCCTTGGTTGGCCATGAGGTGGTTGGTTACCCTGGTCCCTCCCCCGTGATTCTGCTGCAGCCCTAGAGTTATTCAGGGGAGCTGGCCCGGGGAGTGGACATGCTCTCGTGGCCTGCAGTAGGGCGCAGCCCAGGCATCTTGCCCAGCCCAGTGACCCGCTTGCCCTGTCTTTCCAGGGTTTGGTGGCAGGGAGGGCCAAGGATGCCCTGCATTGATGATGGGTCAGTTTTCTGTGTGGGTCCCATCACATGGGTATCCCCTACTCACCTTCCCTGCATTGACAGGTGAGGCCCTCTTTGGACCCATGTCCTCCTCCTGTCCCCCCAGATGGTCAGCCTGGAGGAAGACTTGTA